ATTTAAATGGATCAAACTAAGTCAGGGAATCTGGGGGTTCCTACCAAATCCTTTGACCTCGGGCGGGTGAATGGATTGGCCCGTTACGGCGATGCAAAAAAAAGGAAATAATGCTAACCTCAATGCTAACCTCTATTAGCTCACTACTTTTTTGCTATCGATTCCCCTTTCGAAGAATTCATCTCCATTTTTAATCGACTTCCATTAGCCTTCTAGAGAAGCACGCATCTAACTCTTGGGCCCTTGAATATTTTCTAGGTTCTAGACCAAAGGACAAAATTTATGAAGGAAACCGGAGGCAATTGCTGAAAACTCTCAATTTGCGGACTGCAAGACCAATTGGCTCGGTACTCTTTCTAATAGCCCACTCAGAACGTGGAAGAGAGTCACTCAATTGAAAACGGGTCTCTTAAGTTGAGTGGAGTAGAAAGAAGAGGACTTCCTAGTCCAGAAGTCATTTTTTGCATGGGCTCTGCATNCAATTTGCGGACTGCAAGACCAATTGGCTCGGTACTCTTTCTAATAGCCCACTCAGAGCGTGGAAAAGGGTCACTCAATTTAAAAACGGGTCTCTTAAGTTGAGTGGAGTAGAAGGAAGAGGACTACCCAGTCCAAAAGTCATTTTTTGCATGGGCTCTGCATCTACGAGCAGATAGGAGCGTGGAGAGTAAAGGATTCGAATTTGGGTTTTCGACTTTTACAATGGGGGTGAAATGAAAAATAAGTCAAAATACAATATTTCTTATGGAGATACTCAGTGGGCTGTACCAATCTGTAAAATAATTTGTTTATTTTCAGATACAAGTTCACCGCCAAACAGATCATCACCACCACCCTCGTCGCCAACTAAGAAAACCTTCGCCAGTCTGAAATCAAAGTAAGCAGGAGCTTTTTAGGTGATATTCATCTATTTGGAAATGTTCAAAGTGGCTCGAATCTGTTTACCGTACCAGCTTTGCCACTTCATGGTTAAGGCTAGAAGATCTGAATCTTGTCTTGAATATAAATATCTCCTATATATGCATAGTACTGTAAACATGGCGTATTGATACCGTAAACAGATCCACCGTAATCACAGAGATAGGCGAACTTTTTTGTGTGAGTAGGGGAAGTAAAATCGATGGACTACTGGTACGATACGTACTTCTGGCTGTGTTCCAAGTCGCTTCTGTGAATCTGGTGAAGTTAGCACTGTGTGTCTGGCAGGAAGTCGGAGAAAGGCTCCGTCTTGAAACCTTACTTTGGAGACCATCCACTAAGACCGAAAGGGTATTTATGTGAAAGGAGTTTTGAAATAAAAGTATTTTCTCCTCGGGTTTTTGGTCATTCTCCTAGCTATTTGGATTGGGTTGTAGGAACTATCTTACAGTTGACTTTTTCTTTTAGTCAACATAAAGTAGGCTTAGCCATCGTCAAGTAGGCTTCCTAGGCAAGCCTCCGTCACCCCAAGTAGTCAGAATAAGGATTAGATTCGATCAAAGGATAGGAGTGGGGGTTTCAAGATAACTTCTATGTTCCTCAATTCATGGGCATTCCCATCAAAAACCCATCGGTTCTTCTCAAGCGACTATTCACTCCGAACGGCCGGATGTCGGGCATTAGAGGTATACGTCTAGCCACAATAATAAGTGTTCAGCGGCTTTTGGCGCAAATCTTTGGCTTTTCGATCGTCTTATTTGAGGTCATTGAAAAGGCCTATTGGGGAGGACTATAATTCCAGGCCCAAGGGATACTCTACTTGGTTCTAGAAAGTTGTACTCACTGAAACTCACTGTTCCCAAATTCTCAAAAGCTTCTTGTTTTTTCCGGGTCTTAGACGACTTCCTGAGTAGTTCGCCGATCTCATCCCATTCCCTATTTACTTCAGCTAGTGGTCATTACTCTTGAGAATTTAGCCATTTTCCGGGTAACAAACAATCAGGAACTTTGAAATTTCTTTGTCCACCTTCCATAATGGGTCCTTGTCTGCTTCGCGTCACATAATTGCCCATGCTTTATGAATGCTCTCCCTAGCACTACTACACTAGTCCTTGCAGAGGCTTACTTCCTGGTTGAATCTGATTCTACATCTCAGAAACCGGAACCATTTTCCCATGAGGTTCATCATCCTCTGGGCACGAACCCAAAAAACAGTTGAAATAATTCTTTTGTGGGATCGAGGAACTTTCAGTTTTCTAAAAGAATTGTCTGAAGGGATGGCAAAGAAAATTTCGTGGGAATCTCTCGAGTTTCCCATTTCTATTGCTATATGAAGGTGCGGGAAGATTCTGGGAGTTACCTACTGTCTGAGAGGTTTCCGTCGATGAATTCACTCAGAAAGGGAGGTAATTCCCGGTTGACAAAGCATTGCGAACGTGTTCGAAGGGACATCCATCCATTGGAGTACTCCCAACTTTTTTCACCAGTCGAAGATCTGACGGCTTACCCACGAGCTGTAAAAATAACTCGTTCGGGTCTCTACGGACATGGAGCCATCTGTTGTTTGTGGTGACTTCTGACCCAAACATATCCTAATACTGTGATTGGCAGGCTGTTGATATGATACTCCAGGGACTTCCAGAGCTATCCATTGTCGCATAACAGACGGCCAACCCTATGAGTTCTCGGCGTCTTGATCTTCGAACATTAGGGCCTCTTAGGGTAACGTAACATACTTGAAAAGCTCTTAAGCTGGACTATGAGCGGTAGTTGGCTGATTAGATTTCGGGCTTTTATGAAGATGATGTTTGAACATTTCAGGCTGTTCGGAAAACGTGAAAAACGCACAACGCCCTCTGAGAGGTCGTCGTTCAACCAATTCGATGAGCACTCCCAGTCATGCGATGTCATTGGCGGTGAGTAGAACCCTGAAATCTTGAGGAATTCCGAAAAAATTCAGCAGGAAGACAAAGTCCTTTCAGGAAATTAGCGTGAACTACCGTATTCGTTAATCATATTCATCAAAGGTCTCTTTGTGTTCTGCAACGAATGAATGCGATCTTTCTGCTACAATAACCTAATTACCTTCGATTCAAAGTAACAATAGACTCAAAGTACGCATTTGTTCCTGCCCTTAACACAAACTCTTCGGGAAAAACCCTTTTACCGGGGCAAGGGGAAGGGGAAGGAAGGGGGGAGGGGGTTTTGATCTCCCTTAAATGTTTCTTGGTTGGCTAAATGGTCAATCAGATAGACGATTCCCTTTGAAAGCTGGCTTCAACTTGATAGTTGCTGGTTTTTGAGACTTGACCATATCTGGGCATTACTGTATCATTTGTACTTGATATGTAGGCTATTTATCGTGCTCCTATCCCGAATGTAGACGGCATAATCTCACAATCGGTCTTCTTAAGCTTCTGAACGTCTTCTGAAGTTATTTATGTCGAGCTGGAAATCGCTCCTCCATAGTTGTTGCACACGTGACTGCCTCAAAGACAGGAAAGGGCAAGAGCAAGAGGATTTCTTCAAAACGAATGATTGGAGTTGCTCTTCTCCGAACAAAATGGTATACAGCTCTGGGCTAGACCACAAGGAGTGATGCTCTTATTGTCTTGGGAACTCCTGTTCAGCAAAAACTGAGCATAATGGACAGTGGGAGCAACCAAAACGGCTTGCTTCGAAGTTTTTGTTACTTTAAGGCAATCGGCAATGGAAATGGGTGTTCAGATGGTTCGGACTGCCCGTGCAGAGAATGCAAATATTCTCTATGCCGAGCTTTTGCAGAGTTTCCCTGGCTTTGGGTTTTCCCTATGGTGACCAGAGGAAGGAGAACCTGTTGCCAGTTCTCTAGAGAAAGAGTAGTTCGGCCTCCTTTCGGGGCACATGTTTATTCTGAAACTTGTAGCCCTTCCTTGTTGGTAGATTGATCCTAAATGGTTGTGATGAAGAGACGTCGAGCAACCGATTCGTTATACGGACCGAGCGAAAGACGAGATTTTCCCGAGTTGATTAACTTTTCTTTTAGATGGATGCATTCGCTATTCATCCAATTCCTGGAAGAAATTGAATATTATATATAATGGCTTTCTGAGAATATTTTGGAGATGAAGGGTTTGTCGCACGTGGAAACCCTGTGGAACTCTCTGGGATCATAAGCAAATACCAGATTCAAGCAGGCTTTCGAATCCTGGAGGGGGGCTGAGCAGAGTAATGAAGGGTACCGTATGCTCCTAAAAAAGCGTTCAGCTCCACATCAACTCTATATTCCTTATAGGCGATTATTCGAGAAGAAGGTGACGT